CCTTAACCCCCGCCCTGCCTCCCGATTCACCCCCCGCTCCCCCCAAGGACATGAATTCATTCGACCATTCTAGACCACAGCCACTATAACTCCAGCTTACTAAGGGGAATCACTAACACACATAACAGACCAAACAAGAAGAAGATGAGTTTCCACTATAGGCCCACTAATACTCTGAATAAACTAATAAGAACTACGACAACAACAATTTAACTAACACAATAGAGGGAAACAGGAAAACGGGAGATACCAACTCCCGTGAGTAGAACCTAGGAATTTTCTTGGTATCCGATGGTGTTGTCGTCACCTAGCTCTTTCAAGTCCAACTCCTGTCGTTCCTTGCTGACCTCGGGTTCTTCTTCACTGTTTACACGTGCACGCCTCGCTCGCCACCAAAAGTCACCGGTCCTAACCTGAAATACACATAAAATACCATAGAGCCAAACAAATAGGGGGCTGTCACTGCTACCACTGGTGATGCCCAGCCGTTGCAAATAAACACAAAGAAAAAAGGAAGCGAATTTGAAGGTGCTAGTTAATGGACAAACAAATATTGCAAAATTAGTAAAATTGCTTCGTGTATGGATATACACTTCTTATTGAAGTTGTTGCACTGAAAAGGAAAATTGCTTCATTTATGAGAGAGAAACCGAATGCCAAAATAAAAGCACCAAAGAGATTAGATCTGGAAATGGGTTGATTAGATATTAGAAATTCAATGTTCACAATGAAGCAAAAATATTTGTGGGTCTGATCCTTACCTTCGCCGATGGAAAGAAAAGAGGGAATTAAGAATTTGAGAGCTACGCTAGTAACGAGATAAAGGAGCAGAAAATGGAAGGGAAAGGAAAAGTAGAAAAATAGAGAGGGGGGAGCGGGGAGCGGGGAGCGGGGAGCGGGGAGAGAGAGGAGAATGGTCCCTCAAATCCTCAAGTCTAGGTCTCTGATACCAAGCTATAGTTTCCCTAATTTTTAACCTTTAAATTCCATAAATTACAACTCTAATCCGTGAAATAATACCATAGGAACGAGTTTTTAGTCCAAAATTCTTACCTCAATGAAGTTCCATTGAATTTCCTCTTCAAAATCGCCCCAAATGCTCAAAAGCCGACGTAGAATGATGAAAAATAGCTCAAAATCGCGAAGGACACAATTTATATCTTCTGGATCAGGCATTTTCGCATCTGCGGCCCAATTTCCGCTTCTGCGGTACCGCATTTGCGGTCCTTGAACCGCACCTGCAATTTTTCACTTAAGTCCCAACTTCCGCTCCTGCGATATCTTTTTCGCATCTGCGGCCCCTAAGCCGCTTCTGCGGTTCCAACCTTCCCAGGCCCTTTCCGCTTCTATGGCATCGCACCTGCGGTACCCAATCCACAGATGCAGAAATACCAGAAACAGCAAATTTGTAGCTTTCTCAAAAAAATTCCAAACTCTCCGTCAACCATCCGAAATCACCCGAAGACCCCCGGGACCTCAACCAAAAATACAAACACCTCACATAACCTGATTCAAACTTGTACAAATCTTCAAAACACCTCAAACAACATCAAATCAACCAAAACACATCAGATTCAAGCCTAAGTTTCCAAATTCTTCTAAACTACGCTTTCAATCAAAAAGTCTATCAAACCTCGTCCGAATGACCTGAAATTTTGCACACACGTCACATTCAACACTATGGAGCTACTCCAACTTTCGAAATTTCATTCCGACCCTCGGATCAAAATCTCACTATCGAACCGGAAACCTCCAAAATTTGACTTTCGGCATTTCAAGCCTAAATTAGCTACAAACCTCCAAAACACAATCCGATCACGCCCCTAAGCCCGAAATCACCCAACTGAGCTAATGGGACCCTCGAATTTTCATTCCGAGGCCGTCTTCATACTGTTCCGACTACGGTTACGGAAGCTCTCATTTAGGGACTAAGTGTCCCAAAACTCTCCGAAACTCACAACCGAACATCCCGGCAAATCAAAATAGCAGAATTAAACACGGGGAAAAGCAGTTAATAGGGGATCGGGGCGTAAATTCTTAAAACGACCGGCCGAGTCGTTACATCCTCCCACACATTCGTTCGTCCTCGAACGAGCATACAGACATATCAAAAATATTAAGAGTATTTTTGAGCCGTTTGAACCCAACATATCCAAACAGAAGTATCTTGTGCAGGTTATAAATAGTCAACTAATTTGGCACAAACATGCTAAGGGAGTTTCTACTCTTTCACTTTATTTCCTTTCCTACTGCATTTTTAGAATATCCTCAACTCTTAAAACTCACAGCAATATCATGAGGTACGTTTACCACCATTATAATACCTTAAACACCAACAACTCCATAGCTATGCTCATCTAATGAGTGATATGTAATGTATAAGTTAAAAATAAAGTCTACAGTTTACTGACTAGTGACTACTAATTACTTCGATCTGTCCTTTTACCTCTTCTAATCTTGATTGTTATTGCATGCAGTTGTAACTTTGAAACCTAAGTTTTAAACATGAAAGTAGCAGTGGTTAGGGTAAGTGGACTGGTTTCTGCATATGAATTGGCAAAAGTTGTGGTTTATGAAAAGGAGGATTAACTCGGCGGCCACGCCAAGTCTGTCACTGTCGACGGCGTTGATGATGACCTTGGTCAGTTGGTCTTATGGTCTTCAATCGGGTAAGTATTCATTTGACCAAATAGTTTTTAAATTTATTAGGCAAAAACCAAATTACGAAAATTACATACCTAAACTTGTACGGGATTGGCAATTCGGTGCAACATAAATGACATATTATACGTTTAACCTTTTATAATTTGACATCTGTAATTTGACTTTTTAATTACAATTTATCAAATTTTAACATATTTTTTTCCCTTTTCTCTCCACCACAAGTGAGACCAACAAGAATCATAAACCAGCAAAATGATCAGATATTCCACTTCACTCTGCGGCAACCATATCGGAAAGCTTCTAATAGCGACCCTCGGCCATAAACTAACATCAACCCCTTCATTGATAAAAATCATACTCCAAACACTTAAAATGTGAAGATGAGAGCCTTTTTTCGCCAGAATTTCATAATAAAATCAACCATCGCCATCTGAGTAATCGATGCGATTTCCTTATGGCCGAAAATCGAGTTATGGGTTACCTTCTTCCCTCTAGATCTTTCTATTCAATTTGAAAAAAAGAAGAAGCTATAATTCCTTTTTAGAAAAAGTATAATAACGAAAAGAATGAAGAGGGGGTGGGAACAAAAGGTTGGGAGTGAGCGATGGCGTAAGAAACGGAAAGAATGGGGAAAGGGGGTTAGGAACGTCGGAGATGGATGGGGTGGGAACGAAGGAGATGGGAGAAAATGTTGGGATCTTAAAGTTTTTTAATTCTTTTTTATCTTTTTTTATTATTTAAATTTTTTCGTTTATTTTACTATTTTCTATCAAAACTACTATATTCACACGCCATTTAAGTGTGAGTTGCACGTAGTTTGGCCATGTCAACAATGTTTCTTCCACGTATATATAGTCAACAGTCAAATATGTTTATTGCTCCTTACTTTGTAAAGTAAAGGTGCTATATTGGGAAACTTATAAGTTCATTTACCGGTTGATAATCCAATGCAAGTTGAAATGGCAGGAGGCTGTTTTTCCTTTAAAACGCACAGATTCTATGAGTTTGAATAAATAGGTATAGCTACACAATGTGAAAGGTAGTTAAGCGAACACCTTTTTGTTAAAAAATTATATATATATATATATATATATATATATACATATTTAT